CTCACGTACACGCTCTCCATCTCGCCGTTGTTCTTGCAGAACACGCACCAGCTAGGCGTGAAGCGTTGACGCGCCTTCTTGTTCCTGCCGGACGGCTGTTTCCCGACCGCATCCGACGCCATATCATTACATACCTGAACAAAGAAACAAAACTGAATAAATAACCCACTGGAAAAACTACCTACTCGCCTTTCCCCACCCCCATCTTCCTCTCTAGAAAATTAAATATCTAAATGTTACCTCGAGGTCGATCTAACCGTCGAACAGAACGGGGCGGATTTCGCAATCCACGCCGTTCCTCCGGAAATCGAACCGCACCGGATCCGAGAAGGGTTCCCAATCCGCGGGTTTCCAAGGCTCGAGCATCGACATGACCAGCGCGTTCAATCCCAAGTAATCCTTCATGGGCAAAAAATCACGATCTTCCAAATTCATCGTGAACGCCTCTGCAGTTTTCTCCACGAATGGCTCCTCCGGTATGTGTGTCGGACGAGCTTGTTGGGGTGCTATCGCAAACAAAGTCCAGAAAAGTCGAAAATTTGTCTAAGTCCAGAAAAGTCGAAAATTTGTCTAAGTCCAGAATTGTCGAAAAATTGTTTAAGTCCAGAATTGTCGAAATTTTTCTAAGTCCAGGAAAGTCGAAAATTTTTCTGAGTCCAGAATTTTCGAAAATTTGTCTAAGTCCAGAATTGTCAAAAATTTGTCTAAGTCCAGAATTGTCGAAAATTTTTCGAAGTCCAGAATTGTCGAAAATTTGTCTTTCAAAGTCCAGAAATCTCTAGCTTTAAAAAAATTATGTTTGCTGTTATCGGTTAAGCGATCGGAGACCGACGAACGGAGTCTGATAGCCGTAGTAGGGTCACCACGAGCAGGTTAACAGCATCGACCCCACCCCCCACACCCAACCGCTGCCTTTTGGATGGACCGAGAAGGACGACTTCCTTGCACGGATGCGAACGCCGGTTCGAAAGTCCCGACGACGAAACTTGTGCACTGAATCGTCGTCTGAACTTTCGGATCGGCGTTCGCACCCGACCGAAAAGGCCGAACCTACCCGTGCGGATGGAACCGTCGAACCGTCCGCACGAAGAACGAGACCTGCACACTGAATCGTTCGTCGTACGGGGTTTTCGGCGGTCCATTCCGCAAGGAAGCAGCGGCATACCCCCGTTCTCGCGCAAAAGAACGAGGGGACCCTGTCCGATATATGCCCAAGCTCTCACGCAAAAAGAGCGAGGGGACCCTGTCCGAGTAATGCCGGGCGGGAGACCACGCATTGTCATCGACTGTCTATGCAAACTCCAACGGCCGGTTAGGTTAACTCGTAGCTGAGGGTGACCATTGCGGGTTGAACATGTGCAAGTACAGTTCAATTTTGAAATTGAGTTGCAAAATATAAATTTCGCCATCGAAGAACGTGGCTGTCTCTTATACACATCTAGATGTGTATAAGAGACAGACACTGAATCGTTCGTCGTACGGGCTTTTCGGCGGTCCATTCCGCAAGGAAGCAGCGGCATACCCCCATTCTCGCGCAAAAGAACGAGGGGACCCTGTCCGATATATGCCCAAGCTCTCACGCAAAAAGAGCGAGGGGACCCTGTCCGATATTTGCCCAAGCTCTAACGCAAGAGAGCGAGGGGACCCTGTCCGATATATGCCCAAGCTCTCACGCAAAAAGAGCGAGGGGACCCTGTCCGATATATT